TGTCGCCTCAACCGTTCCTTTTGAAAGATTGTTCCAGTCCCTGATTGTCTTGGGCAGGAATGAGCAGCTCCTATACTGGCTTCTTGCTGGTATGAGCCTGAATTGCCTGTCATGGCCTCGTCGCTGTCTATGGGGGAGAGGGACGAGTTTCTGTTTAATACTGGAACAGTGGACCAGCCCATTATTTATCTTGTACATCATGGAGAGCCTGGATTGTCGTCGTCGTTTCTCCAATGGTGACCAGCCTAGTGTTTCTAGCATGCTGCCAACACTAGAGGTATTCCTGTAGCGGTTTAGGACAAAGCGTGCTGCTCGTCGCTGGACCGCCTCCAACCTGTCAATGCTCTTCTGGGTAAATGGGTCCCAGACTGAAGATGCATAATCTAAAATCGGACGGATAAAGGCTCTATGTGCTCTTTCTTTCACACAGGAGTTGCCAATCTTTAGATTTCGCCTTAAGAACCCTAGGGTCTTGTTTTATATTTATAATGCAATTGGCACCACTCCGGGATCGACTCATCAAACGGTCATTCATTCTGTTAAGTTTTTGGATCAAAACTCAGGTGCCAATAGCCAATACACAAAGCATAGAACGTTTGTGGAAATCTGCAAAAGAGAGAAACAAGCGCCACAATGGCACGCACAGACATATGCTCGATTTGCCCTATGTGTTTTCATGTGGACATGTGGCATCAACGTGTTAAAGTAAATGCTTTTTATGTCTTCAACGCCATTCTAGACAATAGTGTTTAATTTTGGCCACTACAGTGGCGGAGGGCCTTACTATGTTTTTATTCAAAATAACATTTGTTTTATTGGAAGTATGAAGTGTTTTAATGGAAATGTGAAATAATGTATAATAATTTTTTAATTAAACGTTTTTTTAGTTTTAGACCTAGGCTAATTCAGATTGATAGGTTTAGGGATACATTTTAGGGTTCATGTTAGGTTTAGGGATACATTTAGGGTTCAGGTTAGTTTAGGGATACATTTAGGACATAAGTTCGTGGGTCACGATAACCAAGATGGCGGCCGCGGGCTGATCTCTCTGAATTGTTTTTTTATTCAAAAGAACATTTGTTTTATGGGAATTGTGAATAACAATTATTTTTGCGGTGAATTAAAATTGAAGTATCCACTTCTGATACCGGGTCCGAATAGCCGCAGCCAAACTTTTCATTACAATTAAAGATAAACAGTAGCCGATTTGCCGCCAAAAAAAAAAAAGCAACTTTGATCTTGAATATTGATTGATGTCTGTTGAAAAAACTTGTTCTACAATATGGCGTACAGCTACACGGTATCTTTGGAAAATTGCACACTACGTCACCTTTGTTTATTAAATAATTGCTTTCCTCATCAGTGACGTATCAGTTTTTGTGTTCCGGTGATTACATTAAATTTATACTACGAGTTTTTTTGTTGTTTTTTTTGCGTCACGGACAGGAACATCGTAACCATTCGGTAAGTTTATCACATAATACTTGTTTGTGTTATTAATGGATTTAGAAAGATGTTTAGCGCTTTAGAAACTACATTCATTCGTGAGTATTAACATATTTAAATTATTAAAATCGGCGTTCTCCTTGAAAAGTTATGCCTCCCCCAAAAATTGTAGGTGGGGGGTATGAAAATGTCGCTGAATCGAAAATTAATTTTATGCGATCGAGTTAAATTTTTAAATTTAATTATGAATTTTAAATTATTGTTAAGTTAATATAGCATTCTGATACTACATCATCATCATAGTAATAATTTTTTTATTAGGACATAGAAAAGCAGTTTACATAAACAATTATTTAATATATCAAATTACAATAAATTTAATATTAAAAAAAAAAGAAATGAGTTTTAATCACCACATAAAATGAATATTATTAAAAAGAAACAAGAAATGGTGAATATTAAGGATTATGATTAGATGTTATTTTTAGTCGTCTTTCAGGTACAAGGGAAAATTTTAATTTTCTATTGAAGAGAAGATCTTTGTGAAATTTATTCCACTTCCATCAACAGTAAGGCATATATGGACATTATGGACGAGGATGGCTAAGACTCAAGACAAAGTTTATGAAGGAGAAATTTTGTGATTCATCAACAAGACCAAGAAGTCTGTAAACTTTACATTAAAGGAGTCTACATAGAAAATGATAGGCAGAACAGCCCCATTCCCTTTAAAAATTTAATCACATACCCTTATGCTCATATATTAGTGTCGTGATGGTTGATTTGAATAGTTTTTTATAATTTCATGCATTTAAATTTGTAAATTGTAGTAAAAAAGACTTCTACTTACCTTTTATAAAGATAAGAATTTATTTGCAATATAACTGAATCATCAATTTAGTTTAAATACAATCAACATGTGTAATTTTTATGTTTTTGCCTTTACAAATAATAATTTTTCCAAATTTTTTTGCACATGATTTTATCAACATACCTGGAATAAAATTATCCAAAATAAAAAGTCTTGATGTAATGTAAAATTTATATTGTTCGTTGTGTTGGTTATTAGATTAGGAATGTCTCCTGAAAATTTGGTGCAATTATCTTTAAAAATAAAAATTATACAGAAATGTGAAATTTGGGTCACACGTTTTGGGGGTAAAATATATAGATTATGTAAGGGGCATAAAAAATTCGACTAAAAAAATCATAACTCCACTTCTATAAAAGATAGAAAGATGAAATTGGTGTTGTTATAAATCTTATAGCTAGCCCTTTAAAATGATGTATCATTAATTGCAATCAGACAATATTTAAATTTTGTGTCAAAGTACCTAATGTCGTGTTAATGATTATAGAACTATATTTAAAATAGAATTAAAAAATACAATAAAATTGTAAACATAAACGTATTCTTACTTGCTTTTAGCTGTACGTCACATTGTTCTTCGTGTTTCTTCAACGCTGAATGAAAATCTTCAAAATATGGCACATTTCTCGAGTGATAATAATGGCTCTAAGATGGCAAACCATCAGGAAGTATTCGGTCATGACCGTCACGTGACCAACCGAATATTTAAAGCCCTCACATGACCATCCGGATCCGAATAGCCAATTGCTGCTATACCGGGTACCTATAGCCACTCCGTTAAAAGGACCGCCTCCAACCTGTCAATGCTCTTCTGGGTAAATGGGTCCCAGATTGAAGATGCATAATCTAAAATCGGACGGATAAAGGCTCTTTGTTTATCAATTTATTTTCCTTTCTATAAAATTTAAAATAAGTTAGGTTCAAACTCATCATAGGGTATTGGTAACTTGATTTATGACATTAGGCCTTTTAGGACAAGTTTCATTGATTCACCACTTTATGGGTATTGGTAACTAGATTTGTGACATTAGGCCTTCTAGTACAAGTTTCACTGATTCACCACTTTATAGATTTTTTAATGAAAAAGAACAAAACAAACGAGCCGGAGTATAAATAATTTATTCTAAAATAAATAATTGAGTGGGTGGGATGCGGGGGGTGTGCAATTGTACCGCTATTCAGAATGTGTTTTCAAACACCTATAAAAAATCTTTAAAACTCAAGACTTATTTGATAATTCTTACAGCACAGGTAAAAAAAAATCATATTTGTGAGTAACTTTTCAAAATTAAGGCAGAGTATAATGTGTTTATTATGAGGGCAGAGAATGTATTTGTTTTATGTCAGTTATGTGCACAATAGAATGTGTTTCATTGTCATGTGCACAGAAGAATGTGTTTGTTATGAGAACAGAAGAATGTGTGTATTATTTTAATGTGTTTGTTATGAGCACATTAGAATGTGTTTGTTAAAATCAATGTAGAATGTGTTTGTTATGCGGACAGTATATTATGTTTGTTATGAGCACAGTAGAATGTTTTTATTATGTTAATGTGTGTTTGTTATGTGCACAGTGGAATGTGTTTGTTATGTTAATGTGTTTGTTATGTGCATGGTAGAATGTGTTTGTTATGAGCAAAGTAGAAAGCGTTTGTTGTGTAAATGTGTTTGTTATGTGCACAGTAGAATGTGTTTGCTATAAGCACATTAGAATGTGTTTGTTAAAATCACTGTAGAATGTGTTTGTTATGTGGACAGTATATTATGTTTGTTATGAGCACAGTAGAATGTTTTTATTATGTTAATGTGTGTTTGTTATGTGCACAGTAGAATGTGCTTGTTATGAGCACAGTTGAATGTGTTGTAATCTTAATGTGTTGGTTAAGTTCAAAGTAGAATGTGTTTGTTATGTTCACAGTGGAATGTTTTTATGTTAATGTGTTTGTTATGTGCAGTGGAATGTTTTTGTTATGAGCACAGTAGAATGTGTTTGTTATGTTAATTTGTTTGTTATGTGCACAATAGAATGTGTTTTTTATGTGCACAGTAGAATGTGTTTGTTATGTGCACAGTATAATGTGTTTGTTATGTTAATGTGTTTGTTCTGTGCACAGTAGAATTTTTTTTATGTGCACACTAGAATGTGTTTGTTCTTTGCACATTGAACAGCATCTCTTAATAACCCAATGTCAATTCAGAACAAATGAAATCTCATAATTATAACTGCCATTTGGAATACAATAGACATTGCTCATCACTCAAAGGATCTTCTTTATGGCTGTATGAAGAGATCTCTTTAAGCTTGAAGTGTGACTGTCTATTATTGTACACGCCATTGTGATTTGCTTGCTTGACATCTGCTGATTGAAAGTTAGATAGTTTTCACTGATGGTCATTTCTCATTAAATCAAAGTCATCATCAAACTAACTAAATCTTTATTTTAATTTAATTGTGTTTTTTTTAATCGGAAATAATTTTTTTTAGCGTAGTCATTAAAAAGTTCCATAGAGGGCTACAAGAAAGGGCCCCTTTCCGCTAGATAAATCTAACCAAAAAAAATTATTTCTGTACTCTGATTATATTGTGCTAAATAACATTGATAAGCAAAATGTCTGTCCTGTCAAAGATTCAAGTCTCATACCCTTCTGGCATATCTTGATAACACAGCCAGGAGAATTTTGCCAAGTGTCAGATTAGAATTTTGTCCACTAGAGCACATCATTAGCAAAGTGAAGAGTTGAGTTAAGGTGTCAAGGTCAAGCTCTGGCTTCCTGTCTATAACTGTTTGCAGCACACCAAGTAGATGCTCATTGGGTGTTACACTCTCCTGATTCAACTTCCTGCAGGAGATTTTTAAAAAAATCAAATAAGGAGATTTTTTACTAGAAATCAGAATGTCTATCCTCAGCGCACATGTTTTTCATGTTTCAATGTCATTTATGTATCAAATATTTCATTTCAGTAGAGTTATCAACTGTACCTAGCCCCCGTTATTCAAACTGACCAGTTTTTTTAACATTATTATTATCATACGCAATGTGCATAGCATGGACAAATTAAATGCTACCACTGACGAAGAATTCTGACCCCTTTTAAGCAACCCATGTCAAATCTCGATACATATATAAATTGAGTGACCTGACTGGCATATTGATCTGCAAACATATTAATTAGTTTATTTATTTATTTAGGCATTTTTGTATAGCGCTTATCTTACAGCTCTAAGCGCTTTACAATTATTAAAAATATGTAAACTATTTAAACTGCTAAAGTAAAATACAAATGAAAAACCAGAGACACTAGAATAGTAACTACAATGTGAAAAATGACTATAGAAACAGTAGCTTAAACATTAAAATGGCTATAAAAACGAGTACACTTTGGCACGTTTTGGCCTATACTACAAGATCAACCCGAGATAGAAAATGAGGCAGGGCAAGGAGGGTGCATCACAGGTCATAGGCGGACCTAAACAGATGGGTTTTAAGGGACTTTTTGAAAGTGGACGAGGTTTCACAATGACGGATGTGGAAGGGGAGCTGGTTCCAGAACGTGGGCGCATGGAAGTAGAAGGAGCGTTCACCGATGGTCTTAGTTTTGGTTCTTGGGATTGAGAGGGTTCTATTGTCAATTGAAGAGCCTAGTTGTCTTGTGGGGATGTAAGACAGGAAAGTGAGGGTCAGTGAACGAGTTGAAGCATAGATTGGCAGACTTGTACTTGATGCGAGAGGATATTGGAAGCCAGTGGAGTTGCCGCATGTGTGGTTGAATGTGGTCATTTTTTTTTTATTTACATAGCAGATCACACAACTCAAAGGCAAAGTGATTTTATTCTAAGTGCCTGTCATCTATTTAAAAAAAAAAAAACTCTTTATAATTTTAACAGGAAAAAAAAATTCCAGTCCTCACCCACACCGATCAGCAGACCCTGATATAACATTAATGATTACTGTATATAATAGACTGTACTTTAAAGCACCATACATGTATAAAATAAAAGTCTATTGTATTCTATTTCTATGCACTGCCTTCTTTAACTACAACCTTTCTGTCAGAGTGTTTGGTTATCCAAATCATCCCTGGTCCCCAGTTAGTTTGGATAATTGAAACTCTACTGTATTGTAAAAACTAGATATCATAACAACTAACTGTAATAGAAGGAAAATGCTCTCACTGTAATTAAATTATCAGCTTACCCTATGAGATATCCAAGTGTATCTAAAGGTAATGATTGTTTGATGACTGCTGTCGCAAACTGGCACTGATATATTCCTAAAACACAACAATTCAATTCTATCAACGGTATATAAATATATATTTTTTATTATATATATTATTTTTGTCAAATTATTTTTTAAGAACTATTTGTAACTAAAATAATTTAATGGGTTATGTTTAACAATGACTTGGTTTTGACAGAGGAAATTTAAAGAGCAATAGCAACTTCCGTGCAACTTCATCTTTAATGAACTACAGCCACAGGCTTGTTGCCAGAGAAAAAGAAGAAATGAGAAAGCACATCAGGGATGGGATCCAAAATACAGATGCTTTAATTAATAAACACATTCAGTCAGATAGAAATTAACATTTCGGTCAAATAAATTGTACTAAATGGCTTTAATCCACATAAATGTTACCATAGGGCTTTAACTCTTCAATGTTCTTGGTTTTCAACCATTTTTTTTCTCCCTAATTAGGTACCTTTACAACCTGGCTGGTTGTTCAGTGATAGCATAGTAGTTAGGTCCCAACGAACAAGTCACTGGATGCCGTCCCAACTTTTGATGAGATACAGACAGCAATTCGCCAAATGTTCAATGGCAAAGTACCTGGTTCCTACATGATTCCTGCTGAAATCTACAAAGAGGGTGGACCAGCGCTGATGGATAAACTACTGCGACTATTCCAGATCATTTGGCAGATGGAAACTGTACCACAAAACCTAAAGGATGCCTCGATTATCCACCTGTACAAACACAAAGGAAAACGCCAGCCCTGCGACAATCACAGCGGAATTTCACTGTTGTCCATAGCAGGAAAGATCTTGGCCTGAGCCCTTCTGAACCACCTGAATGCACATCTGGAGCTAGGTCTCCTACCCAAAAGTAAATGCGGTTTCCACAAAAAACGCAGAACCATTGATTGTTTGCTGCTTGGCAGATTCAAGAGAAATGCCAGGAACAAGATACAGACCTATATTCCAAATTTACCGACTTGAATAAGGCTTTTGACAGGGTCTCTAGAGGTGGCCTGTGGAAAATCATGAAGAAGTACGGATGCCCAGACAAGTTCACCAACATCATCCGTCAGCTGTATGATTGCCCGAGTGCAGGACAACAGTCAGTCATCTTAAACATTCCCCGTTACAAGCGGTGTAAAGCAGGGCTGTGTTCTTGCTCCCACACTCTTCAGTATTATGTATTCTGCAATGCTGTCTGATGCGTTCCAGGACTCCACCACGGGCCGCCAATCCGGTTTCGCTGTGATGGATCAGTATTTAACCTTAGAAGGCTTCAAACTAAATCCAAGGTCAAACATAACACCATCAATGAGCTTCTGTTTGCGGACGATTGTGCCCTCAACGCTGCCTCAGAAGCCATCATGCAACACAGTGTTGATATCTTCTCTGAGGCCTGCAATACCTTTGGCCTCACAATCAACACAAAGAAAACTGAAGTGATGTATCAGCCAGCTCCCAGTAAGCCCTACGTTGAACCCAACATAATCATCAGTGGACAGCGTCTCAACCCGGTGGATAAATTTACTTACTTGGGCAGCACCCTCTCTAGATCTGTCGTCATGGATGATGAAATGAATGGCAGACTCGCAAAAGCTAGTGCCATATTTGGCAGGCTCCACAGCACTGTTTGAGACAGGAGAGGTATCAGACGAGAAACGAAGATCAAGGTCTATAGCACAGTAGTCCTCTCGACATTGCTCTACAGATGTGAAACGTGGACAGTCTACCAGCGGCACGTCAAGAAACTGAATCATTTTCACACAACCTGCCTCAGGAAACTCCTCAGCATCAGGTGGCAAGACAAAGTCCCTGACACAGAGGTACTCGCTAGAGTGAACCTACCTAGTATCTTCACCACCCTGATGCAGTCTCAACTCCGTTGGATGGGACACCTAGCCCGTATGGAAGACCACCGGCTCCCAAAAAAGATATTCTTCGGAGAACTCATGACAGGCAAGCGCTCCCAAGGAGGTAAAAAAAAGCGTTACAAAGACTCACTGAAAGTGGCACTAAAGGCTTTCAGCATCAACCCTACTAAATTGGTGCAGACAGCCCAGGACAGAGCCAAGTGGAGAGCAGCTGTCAAGATGGGGGCTAAATCCCATGAAGCAAATAGGATAACCACAGCTGAGACACACAGAATTACCCGAAAGAGCAACATTAGGTCACCGTGTGCAGCAACTATCATGATTGCGGTGCCATAGATTATTCCGAGCACGGATCGGTCTAGCAAGCCACCTACAATCTCACCATAACCCACCCTCCCCTAACGGATGACTTGATGGTCCTAGTCAACTTCTATGGACGAACAACAAAAACATAGTAGTAATAACATGTTATTAATTGTTATATATCAATTATATCATTGGATTCTAAATTGAATGATCTATTACTTGATACCAATAGGATCACATTTAGTTATGGTTTTATTTATGGCCAAGAGATTAGGTCTTTAGGTGTGCTAAATTTTCACAAAAATGTAAACATACCACAAACAGGTCGAAGCAAAAAAATAAGTGTTTATTCCTAAGTTCAAATGTTTATTATATTCATCAATGGCATTTCTTTATACAACACATATACAAATTTCAAGCAATTTTACTATTATTTGTATTAATTATGCCACTTTTAATATTACTTTATAATTTTTTTTAAATAGTGCATTTTTTAAAATTATTTTTTTTAATTTAAAAAAAGTAAAAGAAAACCAGGTAAGTACTTCATGAGAGAAATACAATTATCATTAGCAAATAATATAAGTTGAGATGAATAAATTTTACATATTTTTATAAAAAATATACCACATTGGGTACAAACATATCTGTGTGAAATATCACCACTAGTGTTTTCCAGAAAACTCATTTATACAACAATGGTAGAACTTTAAGTCCAAACTTTTTTCTCTATTTTATAAACCTAATAAAGATGTTCACATTATATTATATCTTTACTGTAAGCAACCATTGCTGTTTTAACATCATGTCATCACTGTGTAATAATCATTCATTTTGCTGCAGCAGAAACATGAGCATTGTCAAACAAAGTTTGTCACTGCCTGATTAATTCTACTGAGGAACCAACAAGAATAAAGCTATAAGATCTTTTTAACTATTCAAGACAAGCATTTTGTGTTCTTCAGGATAAAATAAATATGAATATAAGCCTTACACTAGAAAATTAATCGAAATGAAAGAATAAGTCTCTTACCAGTTTTTGCCGCTGTTGTTGTTTTCTTCTACTAATCATATTGTTGTCCACATTATTTGTATTTATCCCAAAGCAGATATCTTTTATCCACTAATTTTATTGCAGCCCAATCAACTAGCCACAGTTTTATGATTTAGCTTAGCTTACTATAACAACAGAACCATTTATACTGTTGAGATATTGAAATCTGCCAGGACCACTATTTCATTTACAGTTATGTTGTTCATACCGATATTGTGTTACATTAATGAAATGAGTATGTCTTATTCTCTCCTGCTTCTCTTGATTATTTATTATGTGTGCTCCAGTAACATATTTACATGCACATACTTTTCATGCGTGTACCTGCTTATCAGCATTTTGCTATGTTTTTTATCATAGAAACTTACTTTATAGGCACGTATATTGGCTTAAAAAAAATTTATGAAATCCATAATCCAGTAAATAAACTCCTTTATATCCAGTTACAGATCACACAAGTTGGGCCTGTAGGTTATGAGTCCAATAAATGTTAGAAATGTTGTTTATCAGCTGGAATGTCCAGTATTAAAATCTAGTTGGCTTAGTTGCCATAACATTGCAGTTGCCATTACTGTTTACATGTACAAAGCATCTGCAGCCTTGTTGATGTAAACTGAATTTGAAAAGTGATAAAGGTGAATGTACTCCTTATCTTGTCTTATTTTGAACAAGTTTCAGTAGTTAGCTCAGGTTTTATGACAGTAATAACATTGTCATGACTGGGTTGTCAAATATCCTAGTCACCACTTTGATACGGCGCTGTGAAATTATAATATAATATAAACATTACATATAAGCTAAGGTCTTATAATTTAAAGAAATAACTGAACAAAACTAAATACATTATTGAATTAAAAATAATAAAAAATCAAAATTAAGAGCTGTTATTAATCCAGAATAAAATATAGACCTAAAAGTCATTGCCTCTTATAAGCCTATCCAATGTAAACAAAGGAAATTTCAAACAACTATGCCTATGAACAAAAAATTAATAATAAAATATACACTTGATATACTGGAATAATAAATTACTATAAATAACCTTAAATACTTAATTTCAATAATTATGAAGTCCACTGATACAGTACATCAATGTAAACATAGTTTTTTCCACTAATTCCACAAAATTTTTGTGTATTTTGACCCGCCGTAACAAAGGAAAAAATCTTACCGCTGATAAGTGATAGCGAACTTTCGAACTGGCAAAAATATACAAAATCATCTGCAGTTATGTCTTCTTCTGACTTCTTGTTTTTATCAGGCTAGTATCACGTTTTGACTTAAAATATAATCAACAACGTTGTGAGATAAATTTGAGGCCTATTTGTCACCTTAAGTGCAAGCAGCCTTCAGTGAAGTTTCACAGCATTGGTAATATGGGCGGACGAAAATCGCATTATCAAAAAAAAAAAAAAAAAAAAAAAAACAAAAAAGGAAAAAAAAAAAAAAAAAAAAAAAAAAAAAGAAACACGATGCTGGGGCTAATTTTTTAAAATTAAAAATCTAAATTTAAGCTTAAAATTTATATTTTTAAAAAATTCATTAAAAAAATATATTTTCCCGTTAAAAATAAATTTGGTATGTAAAAATGTGATTAAAAGACCAATTAATAGTCCATCAAGACAACGTAGTTTGGGAGTTAATCACCATAAATGTTATAAAAAGACAAAGACAATGTCTGCTGATTGAGAAAGAGGATAATAAAATCATCTGTTTGCTCAGCTGGATCAATAAGGAAAATACAAACATAGGCATACCCGATAATGTAAGACTCAGAGCTTGCGATAGGATGTCTACTAAAATCTTTGGCTGCGCTGTGGCCACAGAATTAATGGCTTCCAGCAGCAGATGTGAAGACTCTGCATTCATGTTTGTCAGCTGGAACAACATTTGAAAAGTAGTTCAACATCCATATTCCATGGGTTGTTTTCTTTTTAAATTCAAAGTAAATGTATATTTTTCAGCTTACTTCTTTTAAAAAAAAACAAACAAAGTGTTTGAATATATGTGGATTTGATATATATTATTACCTTAGGGAGACAGTGAAAAACGTTTACAACTAAATGATGCGGATCTTGATGAGTAATAGAGGAGATTTTATAACTGAATTTTCCCATTTAAAAACTTGAAAAGTTGGCCTTAAAAAAAATTTCTATTAAATTCATGCATTACGTATGAAAAAATGATTTAATTGGCTATAACAATTTGCTGGCTCTGTCACATTATTTCTGAAAACGCTTAAGTAAATAACTCAAAATGAAAAAAAAAAAAAACCTTAGGAATTAAGCAGCTGTTGAGTAAGATATTTGCAGACGTCAAGCTCAAGTCTGCCCAAGCCATGTTGTCAAACACATTTACTAGTCTTTTGTCTGTCAGTTGATCTAGTTTTAGGAAATCACAAGCTTCTTTAATCTGAAGAACAATATAAATTTAAATATGAGTTTTTATTTTAAACATTGTTGTTCAGAATCTATATGCTGGAATGTGAATATGAATATGTACAATGTAATCAAAACATATCCCAGTGCAATAAGGGTATGGGTTAGAGCAATGGGGTGGTATGAAAATACAATTTTTTCTCACATACAAAATTAATGCCATCTATTCCATTTTATTACCATACTAAGGTTTTTTTATCTTCCTTCAAAATTGTATTTAATCTCTAACCTAAAAAATACAACACATGATAAATCTCAAAACTTGAAGTCATGGTTCTAAAATGAATGTGCTTCCCTTGCTCTTGGCTTACCTCTGAAATTGGCAGTACAACAAGAGGGCGCAGCATGTCAGTGGTAACTTCTTTACTGTCACTTTTACATGCTTCTCTTAGAATGGCCAGATTTACCTTTAAGAAAAAAGATGGGACAAAATGAAATAAAGTGAATCTTTACATTAAATTCCAAAACAGTGCTATTCAGCACAGTGTAGACAAAATACTTAATATGTATATGTATAACAAATCAAAATCATTTAGCTAGTGTAGAAAGTTAGTAAAGAATGGTGTAAAGTCTTTGATTAGTGATGTAGTTGAAGGAAAAATATGACTAAAATGGGTGAACATTTTATTTGGTTTAAAGATTATGCTTAAGGCTGAAAATAGGTATTAAGTGAAATAAAACACAGATACACAAACAAACTGTCATATCGGACAATATGCTGATATTCTTAGCAGACATATGGAACAATTAGCTGATGTTCTTAGCAGACATATGGGACAATATGCTGATGTTCTTAGCAGACATATGGAACAATTTGCTGATGTTCTTAGCAGACATAAGGGACAATATGGTGATGTTCTTAGCAGACATATGGGACAATATGCTGATGTCCTTAGCAGACACACAAGACAATATGCTGATGTTCTTAGCAAATATATGGGACAATATGGTGATGTTCTTAGCAGACATATAAGAAAATATGGTAATATTCTTAGTAATCTTAGCAGACATATGGGACAATATGCTGATGTTCTTAGCAGACATATGGAACAATTTGCTGATGTTCTTAGCAGACATAAGGGACAATATGGTGATGTTCTTAGCAGACATATGGGACAATATGCTGATGTCCTTAGCAGACACACAAGACAATATGCTGATGTTCTTAGCAAATATATGGGACAATATGGTGATGTTCTTAGCAGACATATAAGAAAATATGGTAATATTCTTAGTAATCTTAGCAGACATATGGGACAATATGCTGATTTTCTTAGCAGGGATTGTTTGACATGAGTTGTGAATACATTCCTGTAACTTGGGATAAAGAAATAAATATTGGCTGATGAACAGATGATTTGTGCTGATAACGCAAATGTCCTGGGTTCGGTCCCCATACTGGCCACCATTTGTTGTGTTTTTAATATGTTTTTATTTCCAACAATAAAAATTAACATAAAAATATATATAATACAAGTTATCAATACTTTTGACTCTATGCTTATCTCCGGAACACACTGTCCATGCACACACTCTCACTACAGTCTCTGCGCATGCACGCCATTAGACGTCGTTGGCTATCCAGACAGTATAGTCTGCTAGTCCACTATAACAAGATCTATCTAAATCAAATTTTATCTTAGGTGATTTTACACTGCACAGAAAAGTAAAAAATCATAGCTTAGACTTGTAAAGCTGCACTTTTAATTTAAAAGAGAGGAACATAAGGATGACCCACATATATTAAATACATATTGGATAAATTGTGGACATTGTTAAACATAATAATTACCATAGCCAAGTGAAAGACAAGTACATTTTTAACATACACACAGTGCTGAAATTTAAAACATTTTTAAAATGGTTTACTCTTTAGCAATATACTAATCTCACTCCTTATTTTTATTAGAGCCAACATTTCATGATTATAGGCACATTACCTTAACATCTTCTGTAAGTGACTGAATGAAAACAAGAGATGATGCATCTCCTGCACCAACTACATCATCAATATTCTCTGTGATGCTTTCTTTCCTTGAATGACTAACATCAGATGTCGTAGTATAAATATTTGTTTTCTTTGGGGTATGTTTTACATCCAGGGCATAACCAGATCTTTGCATCTCATCTACTTCTGGCCCACAAGAATCATCATCATCCTCATCAATGATAATAACATCTACAAAATGGGATATGTTTTCTTTGATCAAAGGTTGCTCTCTTTCTTGTATTGACAACTCCACATCCGTGGTTTCTCCTATATCTGAAAGTTTAATATTATAATATTAACTGGCGCAACTGAATTTTATAAATGCAGAATTTACCGTTCAAGCAGTAATATTTGAGTGGAAACATTAATCAAAACAAGAGTTATTTTTCTTACAATAAAGAGACTCAAACTTTTAAAAACTCACTTTGAAATGGGTTGATTTCCCTTTTCTTTAGATGAGACAACAGGTCTCTGAAATTGTCACTAGATTCGGGAGATAATTGATATGTTTCTGTACATAATCCTATTGACGAGCTCAAAGTGTCAGGTAAACTATAGTTTAAAAGTTTAGTTTTCAGCTGCTGCACAAGTTCTTGGATCCACATATTGGGTGATCTCTCTATTTTATTACAAAACGTTGTTAAAGTGTGAAGAGCAAGCCTTGATGTACTGGTCTGCATTATGAACAGTAATCTTACTTGTACAATGGCAGGTAGATCAAAGAACAGAGGCAAACTGGGAACCAAGATGGTTGACAAAAAATGAATAGCTTAACGTAGAAAATGCTTTATATTTGTTACAGTTAGGCTACAGTAAAAATTCTAATCATTATTGGGCTAATTTGGAGAGATAGCACCCTGAGGTCATTTGCGTGTTTTGTCCCTGGTTCCGATAGGGTCAAAACCCTGGTTCCAATAGGGTCAAAACACAAGTTAGGGATAATTTTAGAGCTCAGGTTAGGTTAAGGAATAGATTTAGGGTTCAGGTTAGGTTTAGGGATAGATTAGGGTTCAGGTTAGGTTTAGGGATACATTTAGGACATAAGTTCATGGGTCGCGGCAACCGAAATGGAGGCAGCGGTGCTATCTCTCCAAATTTACCCATTATTGATATTGGAAATTTTATTTAAACTATAATTTTTCTAAAATATACTTATACATGAAACTATCTCTTAAAAATTATACCTTAAACTTAAAGAACAACCATTCCCAAACTGATAATAATTTATTGACATTTTGTATCTGCTTTTTATCAGCTTTAACTTACGATTTAAGTTGTCCATCTATAGCACATACTTGTTCAACTAACAAGACATTCACAAGGCTTTCAAGAGACTCAAGCTTCAAACCACCTGAATCTTGTCCTTTCACTGCAAAGGAAAAGAGTTTCACTATTTCTAACCAGTCTGTTCTCCTGTTAATAGATAGTTCAATAAATAATAATAAATACTTATTAATTGGCCTACAGTTTTTGTAGTGTTAATAACCTGAGTGCATTACATTTCATTTCAGAATTGTTATAACCTTCTCTCTTTTAAAGATAATGACAAAAATTGTATTAACTGTACAAAACCTGTTTGAAAAATAACTGGAGGAAATGAGGGGTTTGATAGTCTCCTTAGCCAGTTTATCCAAGTTGAAGAAAGCCTCTCTCTTAGTATTGGAGTAATACAAAAATCATTGTTGTCATGATCATCTATAGAATAGTACATGTTTCCTCAGAAAATTTATTAACTTGTGAACTGTTATTAAGTTTTGCCTTACACTTTCACTTACACTTACATCAACTTTAAACTGGGTCTTTAAACAAACAGTAACAGTTGTAATTATAAAATTTTTGGTAAATAAATAGGCTGCCTATTCTGAAACTGAACGCACAACATATTGAATTGGTCTATTTGTTTTAGTTTAAGCTCCTCCCACACTGGTGAATTATTTTATGCAACCTTGACGAGCATTGAAATTGAATAATCAACAATATTAATGCTTGTATTTACTACAATGATAACTACGTTAATGTTTTCAAACAAAGTACAAATACCCGGTATTAGCAATTTAAAACTTCATAATAAATGAGCGATTGAAATAATGAGGTAGCTCCGTCCACGTATTTAATATAAAAAACTTTTGAGAACTCATAAAAAGACAAGTCACTGAAAATAACCAATCATACTGTAGATCTCTTAGGGTCCATTGCATTTGTGCTCAGTATTGAATTTGAGTTAAGTTATAAAGCCATATGAGGCTAAATTAAAGTTAAAGCCCTTTTTTTATTACTGTAGGCTCATTTAAAAAATCAATGGTAGTCTCTACCGTGCCGTAGACTCTACCCATGATTTCTTTACTAAAATATTTTGTAGAACTAATGCCTAATTACGTTGTATATATTGACTTGTATAAAAGCAGGAAAAATCTACTGCAATTTTAAATATTTTTACGCAGTCATTTTTAATCTATTGCTGTGTTTTAGCATATTTCAGATTTTAAAAAGAAACAAATAATGGTATCAAAATGTATATCTCGGATTTTAGTAAATTCATCGACCATTTCGACGAATGAAGGGGACACTACACTGCAGAGACTTCACAGTAGCTTCAATTTTAGGAATCGAACTCCTTAAGCGTGTTTGTAAATAATCATTTTATAAAAAGCCGTTATTAAGATATGGCGTACAACTATGTTGTGACAGCTCATAAACCGACGTCTGTAACAAATGGAGTAACAGGTAACGATTAGAGTATGCCATTCATTGTACTGTGACGAGTGTGCAAAGCACGGGTATTTTCTTCTTCACTGATACTGATATTTTGATAATCACTGTCTGCTGTGTGAGTGTGAGTGAATGTTGGATTTTGGCTCTTGAAACTTAAAAATGCCAAATTATGTAACCTACCACTTATCAGTGTTAGCTTCACTGTGTGCTCTTATAATAACTTATGTATATATATATATATATATATTGCCTCATTGAGTATAGACTAAAATTATAGAGTGAGCCAAGGCCAAGTTAAGTTCTGAATTTTAAGTAAGTCTATTCTATAATATTATATTATAGTTATAGAATAGACTTACTTAGGCTAGTCTATATATTTTAACCCTCTGGAGACGGAGCCTTTTCGGGGTGTATGTGCCAAAAAGATGGAGCAATTTTTACGAGCTCAAGACTCGCATTGCAAAAAAATTTATAAAAAATAAACTATTCCCTTAATATATGTAAAACTATATATATTCTTGTAGGAAATTGAATGAACTAATACAATATTTATGAATCAAACTGACATATCAAAATTTATGCAAATGAGCTACCCTTATTTGCATAATTTATGCGTGTAATTTTTTGTTACACCTAGAATAAACATGACTTACTTGTATCAATTGTGTGAATTTTTTGATGGATGAAGCCTGAATAAGTCCTAATACACTTATTTTTTGGGGGGAAAAGGCCCATGAAGGCCCTTCAGACACCTCTGGCACATGGTTCTACTCCTTTCCCACCCCACCCCCTATTTTTCAGTTGTTACAGACACACTGTAACAGGCCCCCATTAATGACCTAGGGACCTTCTCTTAAGCTGGATGTTACTTAGAAATGTGTCTGCATATCAATTGGTCTCTCTCATTAATACTTGAGTGATATTTAGTGTAAAAAATAGTATAAAATACTCAAATGGGGTGCTTATGACTTATTTATAGGACCTATGTTGTCTAAAAATTCAGAGGGGTCATCTCTGTCCATTTGAGGACCCCTAATACTAGTAATACTAAACCAAGAGTTCACAACATTAGCATTACCCTCAATTTGAAAGTCTTCATTAATTTCCTGGTTGTTTTCATCAGTTTCAGTGTCAGATTCACTGCTGGAATATCAAAATTACTAAGCACAGTTTGATATTCACGATGTAACTACACACACACACAAAAATTCCTGCAAACAAATAAATTGAGTTCACCTTCAACGAACGCCGCCATTACAATGCCGGGATGTGCAGGAATACGTATGAACAATTTTGATTCGCTGGTACAACGCCAAGCCAGCCAATCGCGAGGCTCGATCTATCAGGCCGACGGTTCGGACTTGACGTCTTTCTCGCTAGTGTACCTCGGGCCGATAGATCGGCCCTTACGTCTCCAGAGGGTTAATAAAAATTATCTCCAACGCACCGCTTTGCAGCCCGATTCTCAAGAGGGGTTGAGGAGGGCATAATGAGCTTGGTAATACTACTTAATAATTCTAATACTAGCTTGATGGCTCGCTGACACCATTTCCTAATGTACATTTTCATAAATGTATTAATTTTAATGATATTATGAATTATGATAATATTATTAGATATAATTGCCTTTTCACTCATGAGGCCTTATAACTTATAGCTATGGCACTTTTTACACTATCAACTTAGACTTAGATATTAAATTTTTAAAACTGATTTAGTTATTTAAAGAAGCTAATATTTTACCCTTTTTCAAACTATTGAAGCCTATTTTACTATTTGTTTTTAACTTTTATCCCTTAGGCCTAAGGCCTTAAAGTTAAAGAACAGCACCCACATTTTGATTACACACAATTAAAGCACATTCATTGAAAATTCATTATTTTAAAAATAACATAGGTCTACCTTATTAATATTTTATTAATATGGAGACAGTAAGAAAGCTTTGAAAATCGATTACTTTTTTTTTTATTGACGTGACCTAACTTTTAGGTCTGGCGGGGTTGCAATAAAATTTTCAACAGAAACAGAGTGTCCTCATCAAAGACAAAAAGGGCAGCATTAAAATATATTTAACTTCAGCATCAACATAGCTGTTTAACCTCCAATTTATAATTATTATGTAATCATGCATGCCAACTTCTTGGGATCAAAATAAAAAAAAAATAAACAGCAGCATAAAAAACCATACAGAACAAATGAAAATTTTTTTTAAAAAGTATTATTTATAACTTTTTCATCATTTAATTATAATTTTTCGAATGCATGCAAAGTTTGCCTTCTTGGTGAGCCTAAATTTCATGAATACTCTCAACTTCACTGCATGCAAATTTTAGCATGTTTACATCTGGATAGATTGCTTCATTTAAATAAAACTAGCTTGTTTTAAGTCAGATTTTGTACTTTTTACAAATGTCAATAGCAATTTTGTTTTAAATTGACATAGATCATGAATTTGATAGCAATTAAGTTTAAGATGTAATTAGGCAGATTCTTTGGTTAATTTTGCAGTGTGTAGGAATAGGGGTTACTGTGTTAAAATTAATTAAGGGAAATAAATTGCATCCATATTGTCAAAGTTATTAACTTTACCTTTAATTTATAGCCTTATTTTTCACGGTCAATGGTCTTATGTTTTTTTTTTTATGTTTATATTTCCTTAGGCGCTATGTGGATATAAATTGTTAATTTGAATGTATAATAAGAACTGCACAAACTGATTTGTAATCATGGCTTACTGCTCAAGTAGCTACTACCAACACCGCTATAGTATTAACAAATGGTCTCAATGAAACTGTGCTCAGTTTCTAAATTTAGATAGCCTACTAATTCGAGAACATTTCTTTTCCAAATTGAGTAAAAAACCATACAAAATCATGTTCAGAATTACAACCTGAACATTTAAAACCTGCACAAATTATGCGTAAACCGTACAGGTTGGCATATATTTGGTAATGAAAAGCATTGATTATCAGTCACAGTCTACACAGTTTTACATTTAATTTAAATATTTAAACTGTCTTTACACTAATCCAAAGATTATCTGATTACAATGAAACAGAAACAGATAGTGTCCATCTGAAAAAAAATATTTAAAAATGGATTCAAAAATGTTTTATCATTTGTTAAACAATGCAATATTTAAGATATAACTTTTTAGGCAAATCTGTTAACATTTCCATAAGATGTTAAATTTATATAATATGAAAATAACCCTTTATAGTAATATATGTAATTTACTGCATTATTTTAATTCAAATTGTTTAAAAAGAAAATCTTCTCCTTATTGCTTTTCAGGAAACTTAACTTCTCCAACTGATCTTAATTTGATTATTGCCAAGAATTCTCGTGTAGAAATATATGTGGTCACACCTGAAGGGCTGCGGCCCATTAAGGAAATCATGATCTATGGAAGAATTGCAGTGCTTGAGCTCTTCAGACCACCAGTTCAGTATATTATCCACTTCATTTACTAAACTAATGTTTTTTTCATGTCAGTTCACTTAGTCTGACTTGTGCTAGGTTTACATACAATATGACAGTGAGAGAAGGGTCCATATTGTTTTATGCTTAGATTTAATTTTATTGTTATAAATTCATATTATTAAAAGTTTTGCCAATAATTTTAGGGCTGATAATTCAGTAATAATGTTGATACTCACCTATGCAAAACAGAATGTACAATCTTAGTGCCAGAGAAATTTAATACTTACATCACTTTATAACAGCTTGTAGGCAAAGGAACCAACTGCTAACTTATAACTAATAAAAATTCTATTTGTTTTATTTAAGGGTGAAACAAAAGACCTTATGTTCCTTCTTACACATCGCTACAATGCTATGATCTTGGAGTGTCAAGTAGATGGAGAAAATATTGAAATAATAACTCGAGCTCATGGAAACGTTCAGGTGTCTTATGTGCAAATGAAATGTTAACTTGTTTAAAATCTAAGTCATGAACCATTTCTTTTGTTTTTAATTTTGTTAAAAACTATTTTTTTCACCTTTTAAATAATTTTTTTAGAATATTTCTTACTATTACTATTTTTAGGATCGTATCGGAAGAGTATCTGAAACTGGAATTCTGGGTATTATTGATCCAGAATGCCGTGTCATTGGATTGCGACTATATGACGGCCTGTTCAAAGTTATTCCGCTAGATAAGGAGAACAGAGAACTCAAAGCTTTCAGCATCAGGTTTGTTGTAGAATTGAGATCAAAGTGTGTCTTAGCAATTTCATAAGATTCAAAATCTGACTCTCCAAGATATTGAATTGAATCTGTTGGTCTTTTTACAAATTTCAAGCTATTATTCCTCAGGGTTTTGCAAATATTTCTCCCAAATAACAAGTCGGACAAACATAATTTGGAAAGAACTGTGCAAATGAAGCTGTTTTTCTTGTTCAATGATATTCTATTATACCATAAATATGCTTTTTATCATCGTATTTCGATTGCTAGTGTGTAATGAAAAATTTATTCAGAATGTGGAATCTATACACTGCCCACTGAACCCTTTGCAGTCCAATCTAAAAATTTTAAATATAGCTAATCAAAGAAGTGAAAGAGCCTCACACCAATGTGTTTGCTAAAAGAAAAAATCTTACCCTCAACCCAGAGAATGAAAACTGCTTCAATTGAAGTCTCCCTACTTTATTTTTCAAAAGGTGTTGACTTTGTTTTCATAATGTAATTGTTCTGCATTTCGGTAAAGTGAAATAACATCATCTCTGTAGTTTTTTGAGGCACATCAGACACTATATTGGCTGTTGTGGTGAATTCCCAACTGTAAAGGGTTAACCTCAGACTATTTCTCAGCCATGACACGACACATTAATCTATCAATTTAAATGTGAACTGACAGTAGAAATTCAATTTTTTTATTTTTAGTCATTTGTTTAGTTTAAATGGAGTGAGACTGATGATTAATAGTATTTTAAAACTCATGCTGTTGAAACTGTTGATGTTTATTTAATGAAATTGGTATTTAAAAAATATCCATTCATTATTTTTTTACCGAAAATTTAGAATGGAGGAACTAACTGTGATTGACATGGCATTTCTTTATGGCTGCCAAACTCCAACAGTTGCACTTATACACCATGTGAGTCATTGCTGTTATAAGTATTTAAATTAACCGGAGAACTCTATGCTTAACAGATCTATTGAAATAATAGACTTCATAAATAGAAGCTTTTCTTTATCTGCCATTCATATTTTTTCTTTAATCAAATACAATGCTCAAATTCTGTTTTCACCTTTTCAAAAACGTATTAGAACATTTAGCCACCTTTATTTGTTAATACTTGTTAAATGTCTAGGATCAAAGTGGAAGACATGTCAAGACATATGAAATCTCACTAAGAGAGAAGGACTTCCAGAAAGGACCTTGGAAACAAGACAATGTTGAGACAATGGCTTCTATGCTTATTCCAAGTAAGTTTACAAATTGAGGGCCAGAACATTTGTATTCTTATATTTTAAACAATGCAAGTTTAAATATTTTATAAAGTGGGCTTTATAACTCTTTCCCTATTGAGGTTTTCTCTGGTTTAGGTCCATGACACCAATAGTCCCAAGAGTAATTTGTTGTTTTTCATATAAAATAAGAAATGAAGGGAGGCTCAACGTAACACATAAATTATATATAATTAACAAATAGTTCGAGATCACGAAAAGAAAGATGTTTCCTGCTATAATACTAGTTTATTTTATGCATCGAATTCATTATCACTCATCAACTGAATAACTCATAATTTTTTTCCGTAGAAAGTAGAAAATTATTTTACCTGACAATTCTTATTAAAATATTAATAGTCCTCCAAGAAAACAAAATAAAGAAATAATATTGCTCAGCTTGGTCTTTTGCACTCTGTCAATACTATTCAGTTTCCTACGCTGATAAAATAATCTGTAAGTGAAGGAATACCGGTATTGAAATATTTTTCTTGGCCTTAAATATATTTTAAAATTTAATTGCTTTAAATATTTTCAGAATCTGGAAATTTATTTCATTATAGCGTCAGAATATTTATTGTAAGCTAAAATAATTTAATTTGCTTGTAAAATAAATATTCAGGTCTTGTCTTGCTTTTCTGTCAGGATTTTAAAAATAAGATTTTTTTTAGTTCCAGCTCCTTTTGGTGGGACAGTTATCATTGGACAAGAGTCCATCACCTACCACAATGGTGATCATTACATTGCCATAGCTCCAGCACAAATTAAGGTAAGTACTTGGGCCACCTAACACAATGGTGATGATTACATTGCCATAGCTCCAGCACAAATTAAGGTTAATTACTGACGTTGGCTTTTTACTTATCAAATATGATGATATGAAGTAATATTAAAACTTTTACAAGTGCTAATTGAAATCAAAATAATTATTAATCTTTCAACGGGGGGGGTGGGGGGGGGGGTTGTGTTTGTCCCCAGCAGAGTGTAAAAATTGGGGTTATTAGCCAAAGTCAGATCTTCTTTTCTTCTATATTTTGGGGACCCACTATCAATATATTGATCATTCTGATGCCTATGAATGATGTTAGATTTAAAAATCAGTTATCTATGCGAACATTCTTTAAGCCTTACAATTTAAATTACAACTCTTGGAATAAAATCTAGAAATAATTTAAAAAGTTGAAATTTAATTTTTTTTGCCTGCTTAACTTTACCTAAGTTTTCATTTAATTTTACAGTTAAGTCCCATTAACTGCTTTGGCAAAGTGGACGCAAATGGATCGAGATATTTGCTGGGCAACTTGGCTGGAGATCTCTTCATGTTAATTCTGGAAAAGGAGGAAAAGATGGATGGAACAGTTGTTGTCAAAGACTTGAAAGTAGAAACCCTGGGAGTGGTAAGGACTTCCAATCACATTGCAGTCATAAGATAAGATAATAGATTTTTATTGATCCAAAGAAATGGAAATTTGTTGGTTTTATTCATTCAACGTACATATTTTTTTCAGTCCTGAAAATGCTTGTTTGAGTTTTCCGTTGTTCCTTAAAATTATTCTGTAGCAAGACATTCGGTGTGTAATTGTGCTGTAAGAATAACTGTTGAATCCTTGAGTGAGAAGAGAGTCTAGGAAATTTGTTTGAACTGAGTTCTCGTTTTTCCTCTCTAAGATCAGGGGCACCACTTTTGTCTATTGCCGATTTGTCTTTGAATGGTTGTTTTGATCTTGCCATTTGTTTACAAGATGGCAATTTTTTCCAATATGGTGGATATTGATTTGTCTTGGTGTACAGCAAAGATGTCCAAAAAATCCAGATGTAACTGCTGTTCCTCGCGATAAAAAAACTCAAGATTATCAGTCAAAGCAGATAAAACACAATTAACCCACGAACTGTGGCATGCATCATTCTGTAGTGTGGAGCTTTTCAGAGCGTTTAGAGTGCCATTGGAAATTGCATTAAATGACATAGAAATATTAATACAAGACCCCTATAATATATATTTTTAGAAAGGTAAACGGATGGGGATAAAGTTGACCATATTGCCCTCCCCTTAAAAAAAATTTTGCTCAGTGTCCTTGACCTTGGAGTTCTCAAGGAAAAAAAAATCGACAAAATGTCTTGCTCATAATATCATTAATTTTTATAGATACACTTAAAACACAAATCTAAATGTTGTAGCCAATTCATTTATCTTTAAGAAAATGTATGGTTTGCTAAGGTTTTGATTATAATTAAACGTCTGAAAGCAATTTTAGTAATTTTAGGTCATTTATATAAGAAACTGGGACCACTACTAAAACCAAGTACAAAATAAGAAATCTCAGGCAAAATAGTTATTATTGACTACTAAGCATTTAAAAAGGAACTGTGGAACTGATTTGGGTTGTTTAACTATAAAATTTATTAGTTTTGAACTATAATCTGTAGCTTCTGTGACTAAAATTCAGTTAGTCCTTGTCCAACCTCCTGGGCCTGGCTCGAAGTCTAACAGTAGCCTCAGTAGGCCTACTTCAGTATCACTAAGACTAGTATAAAATTCTAGAGAAGAATAATCTCAACTGATGGGGAATGTTAAAATCATCATCTGTATCACTTAAAACCTCTCCTAAAAAGCTTTCAAACATATTTCTATTAGTTCTTGCACTGAAGGCCCAGCCATGGCTTCAACCATTTTAGCTTTAAAAAAAAACAGCAATATAAAACTCCGATTAAAACTTATTTATTTTCAAGTTATCACGAAACAGCTTGAACCGGAAGATGATTTAATTATTAATAAAAGGACATGGCTATAATTCCGGTTAAATATTGGATTGGAAGTTGCTATCGGACCGTGTCTTTTATCTGCCGATTTTTTCGGCCGACCACAGTTCGTGGTTAACACTCCTTGATTCCAAAGAAAACTTTGTAAAAACCTCCAAACTAGAAATCAAGTCGCCTGCAGAGCGGTGCCCCAGACAAAGGGTATCTCCAAAGTTTTTTTACTGTGCTCTGTTTCTTGTTGTATTTTCATTGGCTGAAGAAGGCTCTAAGCCGAAAAATCTATTTCTTGTTGTCCTTTTGATTCAAGCTTCAAAATACCTTGTTCTACTTGTTTATCTAATATTGAGTTTAGAGTAATAATTTATTTAAAGTCATTAGATATAATTGTGAAATAATTCAGTATTGTCTCTATGCAATACTATTTTTTTTTTTTTTTAAATTTTTGCAGACAACAATACCAGAAATTATCTTGTATCTGGACAATGGAGTTGTGTTTTTAGGCTCACATTTAGGTGACTCTCAGCTGGTCAAGGTAAGCACACTTTTAGGTGACTCCCAGCTGGTCAAAGTACATGCGCACATTATTTGTCATTTTACAGTTACCGGTTATAAATTAATTTTTTTCCTGCATCTGATTTCACCTGCACCTTTCTGTGTGTTTATGCCTCAATCAATGAGATGTGATGTGATATTGCAGTACATTAGTTTCCTTCAGGTTTTGGGTGTTGATTTTTAAAAAAATATAAATTTACCTCTTAAAAATGTAACATTAGAGGATTGAGTGACATCAGTTAATGAGTCAAATGAACTGAAAATTGTCTTTGATATGATAATTTATATTGGCCAGGAACATTTAAGAATGTACATTTATCTTTTAGCTGAACTCAAAACGTGATGCCAATGGCTCATATGTTCAAGTTATGGAAACTTTTGTTAACCTTGGCCCCATTGTTGACATGGTTGTGGTGGATTTGGAAAGACAAGGTCAAGGACAGGTAAGCAATTTGACTCTTAAAATTTGTAAAATTATTTTTTATTGATTTTGGATACTTTTGAGAACAGTTAATGAGCACCATTGTGCTGTGTCAAAATCCCTAATAAGTGAAATCTTTTAAAGGCAGTGAATAATAGTTTAAAGGTAACTTAAAAACCACTGTTTTTGTTTATACCGGTAGTGATTCTTAAATAGACATATACCATAATATTATTTCAGATTTAAAAACTCACATTATAGCATGAGCTGGCAGTATGAGAATATTTTTTTAAAACAGTTATTAATTTAAAAGTGCAGCTAATCTCATTGAAATTAAAAGGTAAAATATATTCTTTGCCCATTTCATTAATATGATAGTAACTGTGCAGTTTGACCAACATGACTGACATAATGTGTTTTGTTTGGATCCTGACACACAGTTAGTGACATGCTCTGGGGCTTTTAAAGAAGGATCTCTGCGAATTATCAGGAATGGGATTGGTATTAATGAGCACGCCAGCATTGACCTGCCAGGGATCAAAGGTTAGTGGCTTGGCCTGAGGGATCAAAGGTTAGTGGCATGGCCTTAGTTTCATACACCATGTAATCCTGCTGTAATGCACAGGGAATATCTTGGTTCAGAGAAGCAATTGTAACAACCATTAAGTCATGCCTTGAATTCATATGAGAGTTGGGTTGAATCTCCGCCCTTGTTGTAACAAATTTACAGGATTTTTCCTGATGAAAGCACATGAGACATGATAAGACATAAGTGCTTCAAAACATGTCTCTACTTGAAAAATGTCTCAATCATTGAATGCAGATTACATATTTTTTTATTCAGGTATCTGGCCTTTATGTGTCAACTCTGACAAGTTTGACAACATGATGGTTATGTCTTTTGTTGGTCAGTCAAGGTCAGTATCAGTATATGTGCGTTGATATTTATGGGGCTTTCCATTTAATATTTAAATTAAACTTGTGGGCTATTATTTTTTATCAAATGTATTTCTCTAATAACTTCATTGTTCATGAGTTTGTCTGACCCTGTCCATCAACCAGAACACTCTTTCATATCTACTGGTTTAGATATTGCTTGTGTAGTTAGAATAAAAACAAAACCCCATATGTTTTAACAATCTAGTTAATAATGTTCTGTTTTTTCTAAAGGGTGCTTCAGTTGTCTGGTGAGGAAGTCGAGGAGACAGAGCTCCCGGGTTTTGATGGGGATAATCAGACTTTTGTCTGCAACAATGTCTGCTTCAATCAAATTGTACAGGTAATTGCAGTGAATCTTACATCAGTCAAAATGTCTGCTCTGCTCACAATCAGCCATTGTTTTGTATTTTTGTCATATGGAAGTCTCTTTCAATGCAGTTATTAATGGAATCAAGCCCATCAATAAAATACTTTCTGATGTGTCTCAGTTGAAAACCATTTAATTACCATGATAAAATTGAACCCTAATGTAAAACTCATGCGGCTCAGATTTCTGAAGTCAGCGTTCTTGTTGACAGTCTCTCTATGGATTGTTTTCAGATCACACAGGCCTCCATGCGGCTGATCACCTGTAAACCCGGAGGTCTGGCCGAGGAATGGGTTCACCCAGACGGCAAGAAGATCAGTTTGGCATGCTGCAACCACACACAAGTTGTCATAGCCGCTGGAAGTCAGCTTTTCTACTTTGAAATTGAGCAAGGGAAATTTGCTCTCAAGGGGTGTGTTGTTGTTTTATCAATGTCATTCAAGAACCGTATTTTAATTTTGTTTTTATAAATGGAATGGAGGACTCGACCAACTTTTTTTTTTTTTTTTTTACTTCAAAATTTTTAATTGAAATAAATTCTGCAAAGAGTGTAATGAATACNTGTTTTTTTTTATTTTTGTGTAAGTGTGGGGTGGGGGGTGGGGGTGTTGTTATAAATAACACAGTGTGCATTTCATAGTCAAAATAAAATATTCAAAAGATTTCTTTAAGACTGTATTCATCAAATTTTCCCTAAGAGTTCAAGGGTTAACAGGTCTAAGAGAAAGAGACCAAGAGTTTGACAATTTAAAGGCTTTTAGTTAAACTTGGAATGGCCATTGATTGTGTTTGTTGATTCCTTTCAAACCTCGTAGTTAGCCAACTGAGTGTGGTGGATGGGCTCCAATTTCAGCATATCCTAGTAACAATAGGATTTTTGTCTTTACAGAACTCAACACAAGAAACAATAAAACAATTTAAACCTGAATTTTTTTCAAGCTGCTTTACTCTAAAAGTATGTGACTTTTATTTTAAGCCATTGTCGAGATAAATGATGCTTGCCATTGTTTCAGCCAAACTACAGTTGAACATGAGGTGGCCTGCTTGGATATCAGTCCTCTGCAGGATGGCGGCCAGTCATCAGATCTCCTGGCTGTCGGATTGTGGACAGACATCTCTGCTAGGATCTTCAGACTTCCCAATTTTGAAAGTTTACATGTAGAAATGCTTGGAGGAGGTAAGAAGGAATAGACCAAGTAGTAACAAGATTTCCTATTGCGGTCTTAAGCTGTCTGTAACATTGGACTCAAGTTATTTCACATGGCTTATAGATTTACTCATAAAAAGTAGCATTCTTCTTTGTTAACTCATTGCCATCAAGGAACCTACATCCCACACAATTTTACATCCAACAAAGATGTCAAAATATTGCAGGTAATGAGTTGGTTTAAGGTAAAAATATTGTCTTAACATAAACAGACACAGACTTGATGTGATATCAGCTGAAGGTGATCTTAACCCGTTTCTTGTCTTTCAACAGAGATAATCCCCAGGTCTATTCTACTGACAACATTTGAAGGCATCCACTACTTGCTGTGTGCTCTTGGTGATGGATCTCTGTTCTACTTCCTCTTGGATCAAGCCACAGGTGAAACTACTTGCTCTACTTTCATTTTCACAAATCCTGGATGTACATGTTCCAGTTTATAATCTGTCTCCCTGATGAAACATTCTATAGTAATAAGTAAATAAATATATATATGTATTTATATAATACCGGTACGGTATTTATATTTTTTATATTATTATTTTTAAATTTTGTTTCAAATTTTCTGTTTTCAAATTCTTCACACTTATTTATAGCAGCCCTTTCACTATCACAATTAAGTGAGAGAGTGATTACTTGATTCACATTTGATGTTTCTGTCATTTGATGTGTACCGCGGCTAACATCTCAGTCTTTTGTTGCAGGCTACTTGTCCGAAAAGAAGAAGGTGACCTTGGGCACCCAGCCGACCATGTTGAAGACATTCAAGTCATTGTCCACCACCAACGTGTTTGCCTGCTCCGACAGACCCACGGTTATTTACAGCAGCAATCACAAACTCGTCTTCTCTAATGTTAACTTGAAGGAGGTCAATCACATGTGTCCTCTCAACTCTGATGGCTATCCAGACAGGTGACCACTGATGTTAATATGGAAAGTTAGAGAAGCACACGCTTAATCTTTTGTAACCTTCAGATGAAATAAAGCAGTGGCTCGCAAAATTTTTCTGACCGCGGCCCCCTTGGTGGGGTAAAGTCTAGAAGATCAGCTACTTATGTCTATCCACAACTTGCATGCAACACAATCAAAAATAGTTAACTTTATATATGATTTTCATTGGAAAAATTTTATCATCTGTTAAATTACTTCACCCAACGAAATATAGCATTATATAACATCAACTTAGCCGGTTGTTAGTTTCTTCTTATTTTATACCATTTTGATACTTTGTCTAGTCTTGCGCTGGCTAATGACACAACCCTGATGATTGGAACTATTGATGAAATACAGAAACTCCACATTCGTACCATACCCCTCAGAGAAACACCCAGGTTTGTTAACATTATTGAAAGCCATTGAAAACAGGGACCCACATCCAACATTAGTCAAAGTGACAAGTCGTTATTTTTTACATAATGCTGAAAAGTTTCATGTTTTCTTAAAATAAAAAATGAATGAAAATAGTGTTTAGACACATGTTGAGGTTGAATCCATTGCTCAATGTGGTTCACGGGAACATCATAAAACTTGCTTGTGTTGACATTCAACCTTATATGTGTACGAGTTTGTTTCAGTAGAAAAATTACATTGCTTAGCTTTAGCAGTTCTCTGGGACTGGAAAAATTATCATTTATCAAACTTCAAAATTCTTAGTTTTACTCAAACAAAGCCATTTGTATACTACTATGCATATATCTTCTTTTTACCGTGTTCTTCTACCAACAGACGTATAGCATACCAAGAAGCAACACAGACTTTTGGGGTAATCACATACAGATTTGATAGCGGAGAGCGTAACCTGCCAGGGTTTGAACCACTACCCCCGCCAGCCAGCCTTACTGCTCTAACTTCCACCGCCACATCCAAGCTGTTGACAGGGGGTGGCGCCGCCAGCAGTGCTGGGGACGCCACAAGCGATGAACAAGAAGTATATTCATTTCTCATCCTGAGGCAGAGCACTTTTGAAGGTAGCTGTCTTGTAATAATGGGTAAATTGGTATTTGATGACCACGAGTGCCATAGGTATTTGATGACCACGAGTGCCATGGGTATTTGATGACCACGAGTGCCATGGGGATTTGATGACCACGAGTGCCATGGGTATTTGATGACCACGAGTGCCATGGGTATTTGATGACCACGAGTGCCATGGGTATTTGATGACCACGAGTGCCATGGGTATTTGATGACCACGAGTGCCATGGGGATTTGATGACCACGAGTGCCATTGGGATTTGATGACCACGAGTGCCATGGGGATTTGATGACCATAACTGTTGCCATTTTCATGGTGCATTTTAAAACTTTTTAATATTTGTTTTTATATCCAAGGACAGCCCACAATTTTTATAAAAAAATAAAGGAAATAAGAATTTACTGAACATTATATGGCATAGATGTAAATGATCAGAATCAGCTCAGTAAAATTTAACAGAATTTCTAGAAAAATCTGATTTGGTTTTTTTAACACTTGGAAAAACAAATTCTTGCAATTTGCTTTTTTGTGGTAAGGGTCTTCAGAACTATCTCTGATATTTATATATAATTATATATTTATAAATTTATATTTGTATATAAAAATATATATATATCACAGATGTTATCTGAATCCGCCCCTAGTATATATATATATATATATATGTGTGTATTTATGTGTGTATGTTTTCTGAAGTTATTTAATAACATTAAGCAATTGAATTTAAAGTAAGAAGAGAAAAAATTGTTGAGGTAACCTTAAATGTTTCCCTTGCACATTCCAGTTCTCCATGCTCACACACTTTTGCCCAACGAATGTGCCACAAGTCTTTTATCCACAACCCTGGGAGAAGACCCCACGCCATACTACATTGTTGGAACAGCTTTGATCAGTCCAGACGAAGCGGAGCCAAAGCTCGGAAGGATCATCGTCTTTCACTATAATGAAGGTCATTGAAAACTCTGCCGCTCTAAAAGCGTGACTTTATATGACATCAAACAAATAAATGATTTAAGCTCATCTGTGATGTACCGGTATATTATATGGAGAATTGTTGAGAAAATTGCATTATTACACCCAGAAGTTTGCCAACTATTGTGGAAGCAAAATCTTTTGACTTGCTATGAAATAATTATTTTTTTTGTTTTGAACAGGCAAGTTGACGATGGTGGCAGAGAAAGAAATAAAAGGGGCTGCATACAGTATGGTATCATTCAACAGTAAGCTACTTGCCAGTGTCAACAGTACAGTAAGTTGTACTTTCATGTCATCTCACCATGTGCATAAACCAGTCACATAAGCATTGTGTATACACCCCCATGGCATAGACATAATATATACGCATAGCATAGACCATATATATACACATCCATAGCATAAGTATTTTTTATTGAAAGATGAATTTTAATTAATATTTTTAACATATTTATGTGGATGTTATGCCATGTGGATGCAGCCGTTGCAACACTTACCCTTTTTTGTCAACACATTCACTTCCCTAAGGGCAACTTTAAGATAAGGGAGGGTTTCCTTTGTACTAACCGCAATGTTGTCTACACTATTGTTTGCACCCACTGTCAGATGGCATATCTAGGTGAGACTGGACGCCGCCTCTCTGAAAGATGTACTAATCACCTGTGTAATATTGCATAAGATAAGCAGTGTCCCATCATCTCAAAACACTTCAACAGAAACGACCACAAGGGCTCATAGGATTTTTCCATCACCGCTATTGTGTATCACCTCTATTAGAAAGACTCCAAACCGGGTGAATCTGGAAAAAATAAAACTGATTCAGATTTATGGAACCTTGACTCCATGTGGCGTGAATGTCATGTTCTCATTCACAGGTTAAACTTTTTCTACGCCACCTCCTCGTTACGACCAATCACTACAGTGGACTTTCTTTTCCTCTCTTTTCACGTTTTTCCTTTATTTAATCTCTCACCTACTTATGTTCTGTCTTATTCCTCTTGTTATCCTCTCGGATACTACATTGCAGCGAAGTGATTATTTTAAATATATTATTTTTACTGTTGTTCGCTGAAGAAGGCTTCTTGTTGACACAATCGTTGTTTTGTCACGTCCTTTTTTTTTTCCTTGTATCCCATACTTTTTTTTGCTTATTTCCTTTTACGGGACCTGATTGCAGTCTCTCCCCCTGATCACCATTAATTGTTCAGTTTATTTGTTGTTTATTCCCATTGGGTATGTATTATTTTACAAATGAATCACATCAATTGTTAATGTTATCACTTAGGTGCGTCTCTTTGAATGGACAGCTGAAAAGGAACTGAGGCTTGAATGCAGCCATTTCAACAACATCCTGGCATTGTTCCTCAAGTCTAAAGGTGACTTTGTGCTGGTGGCTGACTTGATGAAATCAATCGCATTGCTGGGCTATAAGCCTTTACAGGATGCCTTTGAGGAGATTGCCAGAGACTGCAATGTCAAATGGATGACGGCCATTGAAATTTTAGATGACGACAATTTTCTGGGAGCTGATAACTTTCACAATTTGTTTGTTTGCCAAAAAGACAGGTTAGTCTTTGTACAAAGTAAATTTCCATCCTACTAAGAACTGCAGCATAGTGAAGCCACAATCCCCTGTACTCTCGAGGTTGATGATCTTTCAAGAATATAATAGTTCACAAATAGTGATTGTCTCAAATGTCAAGAAATACTGTCTTAGTTGAAAATAATTATTCACTTTCATACCTTCATTTCAACAATAGAATGCATATTCTGGGTGTACATAATTTGATCTGATAATTTATTATTGGTTATTCCCAAAGATGTGATCATAGTACACAAGACTTTTACATTACGTGAAGAGCATCACATTAAACCATCATGACTTCAAAATTAAGATTATTGGATAATGGCCAACAAGAATCTATCACCATGGCAAGGCTCCATGTATATTTTAATGTCTATACAAAATGTTTTGAGCATAACTTCATATAAAACAGAAGTAAAACATTTCAACAATATCATCATTTCATTTCTTGAGTCACTGCTGCAGTGGTCAAACTTAAGTGTGTCCAATGACAGGAGCTAAGGAGACCAATTCTCTAAGTAAACTCTCATTGAAACTTGATCTATGTGGAAGATGTGAATCAAAACAAACCTCTTGTGCTGCACACTCCAAATCTTTATTTAACACATGTAAGAAGGCTTAACCTGTCCAGGGTCTTTTCATTGCCCACTGATCACAAAAGGTAGAAATGTTACATTTTGTTCTTGTTTGTGTAGTGAAATTCTTACTTAAAATGTCTTGGATATAATTCCTACCCTTTAATTTAATCCACGCTTGTTTTTTTCTTTGTCATCAATGTTCTCTTTCTTATCAACAGTGCTGCCACCACAGACGAGGAAAGATCCCAGATGCAGGAAGTTGGCCTTTACCACCTGGGAGAAATGGTCAATGTTTTCAGACATGGTATTGTTACATTAAATCTATGTATATCTCTCTGTTGCTGTCTGCTCTATGGGTAGAATGCAGTATTATGTTTAGAAAATGTTGATCAAAGAAGACTGTATTGTTTTACAGCAGCGTTTGTGAGAGACCTTTTGTCTGCCTGTATAAAATTATGTGTGAAAATAATGTTCTCTGAAGATGTGTATGGTGCCTTTCAACGTAACATTTTAGCTATTAGGTTCATTAGGCTTGGCCCATGCTACACTATAATTATTTTTATGGATGATTTTTAATGAAACAAAATATTGTTTCCAGGCTCACTAGTGATGCATCATGCAGGAGAAAATACAACGCCAGTGTTGGGTTCTGTCCTCTTTGGTACAGTCAATGGATCTATTGGTATTTTAATTATTTTTTTTAACAAAATTTTTCTGAATGGATCCAAATAAAATTTTGAAATACTCCAAAATGTCATAAATACTCAAAATGATTTTTAAGAGAAGTGTTCCTTATTGAAAGAGGAAAAATAAGTAATATGTATATATAGAACACATATTTATTGCATATGTAATAATTTTAAAGATTATTTATTTATAAGCCTTTTAAAATTTAGAATATTTAGATTTATTATTATTAAAGTTTATTTTTATAAAACCTTAAAAATAGGAGGAGAAAAACAACAACACTTACTCTATGTAAAGATGCAATCTGATTATTATGATGAAGATTTGGACCTAATACAAGATTACTCTATAATAATATTCTGTTGATTTGCATTTCAGTCCACCTCAAACATGATTTTAAGATTGTTAATTCCTTTGTTAGGTATGGTAGCCCAACTCCCCCAAGATTTCTTCAACTTCTTACTGGAGGTGCAGAACAGACTGAGCAAAGTCATTAAAAGTGTGGGCAAAATTGAGCACAGCTTGTATCCTTTTTATCAGATATCTAAAACAGATATCTGCTCTTAGATGCTTGGTTCATATTAAATGACACATTTATATATGTACTAATACCAATAAAGTGGATATGGCTATGGTAACATTTATATCTTATGAGTCTAACATGTCAATACTTTCCTAAGCACTTGCCCAGCTGGAGGTCCTTCTTCACAGAACAAAAACGAGACACATCCCTTGGTTTTATTGATGGCGACTTGCTTGAAAGCTTTCTTGACTTGACACGAGACAAAATGCAGGAAGTTGTACTGGGTCTTCAGGTGTGTATTAATATTTAAAGATTTTATAGTTAAAACTATTTGTAATGCTTACAACACATTAGTTTATGTGCTACCTTACATAATGGATGTTTAATATAACTGATGTGAACATTTTTCAAATACTTATCCAAAATCTACAAATGTTTTAAATTTTAACGCCGGTAACTCAGTCAGTGTATCTTCATAAGATATTCCACAATGAATCCAGTTTCCAATTTTTTACCTACAGATTGATGATGGGGACATGAAGAGGGATGCCACAGTTGAAGATCTGGTGAAAACCATAGAAGAGCTTACCAGAATACACTAAAACTAAAATACTTTTGTTTTTTTTCTCATTTATATTGTATTTTACGTGAGATTGTTCGAATTAGTTTTTTTTTTTAATATCTCATGTTTTTTTTTTAATTAGATTTTTTAGCGATGAAATTGAGAGATCTCTTAACTTCAGCTGACTGGTAATAGTAAGAATAGAATGTGGAAGGAACTTTTTTTAAAATAATTTATAACCAAATAATCTTTACTCAACTTCATCAAATTTTCCTGTGACTTAAATGTTCAAACTTTAGCTTATTGACTTATTGATTGAGAACTCCTTGATTTGTTATGATTTCTCAAAACAATTAATAGACTAGAGACGGGCATGACTGAATAATGAGAGTCATTAGGTTGGCAGTGTCAAGTTTTTTAATGTTTTTATTTTGACTAATTTTTTTTGTCAGAGGTTTGTTCCTGTAAATAAAGATGTTACATCGTGGCCTTTCATTTTTTATTACTTGTAATTCTGTTTTAAATTAACTGTTTAAAAATGTTCATTCCTTAACCTGTCTCCAAAAAATTGTGAAGCAATAACTCTGACAAAATTTTAATAACCTAACTATGAAGATTTTATTTTATTACTGGTTTGCTGATTCCATACTGCTAAAAGGTTGAATAGAGAAAAAGATGTTCATCAGACAAGGGGGTGATTGTAGCGAAAGTCACTGTTAAACCGAGACAAACTGAACAATACCAGTACCGGTAGCTGAAAAATTGATTCAGTTTTCCTGTTAAAAATCTGCTGGAAAGTGAACCAAAAGTCACAATGATTTGCCCTGTTTTAAGCTTTAATTGCTATGTCATGTGCTGATGTGTTATGTGATTTCTCATCTGAAAAATCTCAGTAATTCAAATGAAAAAAACTTGCAGTTACTATCAACAATATGGTGCATTTTATTCTCATATTAAAAAAAACAATTGGGGCACATCAAATGGTCTGACTTAGCGTAGCCATGACAACCTGCTTTCACAGCTCCTTATTGAAACAATAATTTAACATGACATCAACAAAAACGTATCAAATATATGTACATGCAACAAGTCTACAAAAGTCATGCTTTCAGAGAGAGTTAAATGCCTTGTTATTTCAGATATATTGCCAACAAAATGAATTCCTCAATGTTAATATCTCCCTTTGAGTAAGAAATATATTCACAAATGAAATCTACCACCAAAACTACAGGGGGGACAGGACTGGGAAATGGCCATAAAAGCAGGTTAGCTGCTATTTATAACATTATAATACATTTATTACTGTGCACACATGCAACTGATACTGATAGCATTTTCAAAACACAGCAACAAGATACCAGCCAATCTTCATTTAAATACAAAAATCTTCAATAAACAGACATTTTTCATAAAACAACTGCAACTATTCCATGTATAGGTAATCAGTTCTGCGTGGGATAAGACCTGCACATTGAATGTATAATGGATGTAAGTAAATCTGACATGCCCTAAAAACTGGTTATATTTTAAAAATCTAATTTGCACACATCTCGCATGCCCATCATGCTGTTTGCCACAATCAAATGGTCTGACTTAGTGTAAGATAATGAGTTTTATAATACTAACTATGGAAACAGAAAAATAAATAATTAATTACAGGTATGGAATAATAATTGAGCAGACCAGCTGAATCCGAGTTGACCATTATTGGTCCAAATGTATAAAGGTTTTAATCCACAAAAATCATTAGAGTAAAGTCATTCACCAGGTTGTACATCACAACCTCCCAAGTAAACAAATCCTCTTATAACTGCATTAGTCTGTGTGAGGCTTCTGATCTCAGTATCACTCTACTTAAACAATTTTGATAAAAAAAATCACATTTCACTTCTAAAACTCACAAACTGTCAAATCTTTAAATAAAATTTGGTGATCCAATAAAAGTGTACAGGAAAAAAGCTTGCTCACTATTTTTGCTTACTACAGGTGGATCAAGTAGAGTAAAGACAGGGATCTGAAAATATGTAAAGAGAAACTGCTTACACATGCTGGGGTGGGGAGGCGGGGATAAGTTTAGCTAAGAGAAAAACTACAGATGTCTGTTGGTGAGAACATAAATAAAATGCCAAGTGTACATAAGGCTTGCTGATAAATATCACAATGCTAGAGTTATTAAAGATGTCGGCAGAATGCTGGACACATATTATGTTCACATCAGTATTATCCAATAGCTCTCCTCCCGTCTATTCAGTACATAAAACAAAATAATAACTTCATGGTATGGCGGCTTCTCAAAATAAATCATTTCCCTTTCTTCATCTGTTTTTTCATCATTGCTTTTCTCTTAAGTTCCTCTTCTTCTCGCCGCATGTCTTCTAGATCTTCAAGCAACCCCAGCTTGGCACTGCGTTTCTCTTCAGCCATCACGGTTGAAAAGTTAGCCTCCATATCTGCCAAGTCATCATCATCTTCATCCTTATACCTGGAAAAATATGTAGAGACTCGGCTTTAGAATCTAATGGAAAATCTACTCATGTTTAATTAAGAATAAGAAAAAATTAAATTTATGTGAAAAAAGTTAACACAATTCCACACATTCTCCAGGGACACAGTTGAAACTATTCAATCTTCCCAATTTCAAAATCTGGTGAAAATTTATCATTTAAAGTGGTCAGCACAAATGGACTTGACTAATTAAGACGAATCATAATACCTGATAAAAAACTGGGCATGCCCACTAGTCTATCATAGCCTAAAAAACAGTGATTTCTTTTAAAAACTACAACTAATATGAAAAGTTGGCCTCTCTTCAACTGTAGATTCTGTTTGTCGCAAATGATTAGGGTGGTATGTTTGCAATCATGTTGCTCATATACTACAAGGACAAGGTTCAAGTGTCATGTGCAATCAAGATGTTATTGATAGAGTAGGAATACAAAATTTTGAGAATTAGGGGAAAGTAAAGTAACAATTATAACATCACTGCTTGAACGGATTTGCAAAATCAGTAACATCTATTTTGCATACCGTCATGTTGAAATAGCATGTTCAACACCACCGACAATGCATAATAAATTACCACCTGCTCCTCAAAAAAAAAGGATTTCACTAATGCAAGTAGCTGCCAGGAGACAGAGAGAGCTTTCAGCAATTACTGCTCACACTGGCAATGCTTCTATTTTCAGTGCTGAATGGTTAGATGAGAACGATGTTGAATTGTCTGGTATATCAGTTCCACAAGATGAAAATTATAAATCAGCTACTATGCCCATTATTACGATAGAGCAACACCTGGCTATTCCCTGGGAAGATGATAGCAGCTAGAATGACAATAATCATGTTTATACTTCCACAAACAATGATAATTAGTCTTTAACAACCTTTTCATTGATTCTGCATTATAAAATTTAAGGTAAAAACGTTTTTTACTTGATCAACAAGCTAAAGATGCAATAAAGTGTAATTCCTACAATTTAGTCTTATTAAAATAGTTCAGCACAAAGTAAAATGTAGACTATTTATATATATAATAATTAATGGGGGGGAGGGGGGTGTTTATAACAATGTTGACAAAATTACTTTGGGGGAGGGGGGAGGAGTGTTCACTAAAAATCTGACAGTTGTTAACAAGGGGGTCAAAAGTTGCTTAAAAATTGTTGACATAATTAATGGAAGCCCCCTATTCTGTAAGACAATCGATCCAAGCAAGTCCACCTACTTGCTCTTGTTGTAGCCAAACATTTTTTGTATCTCCTTAGAATAGTCCAGTTCCCCATCATCACCGTCATCAATAAAACTATCATCATCTGACTCTTCCTCTTCAGAATCAAGAATTCGTCGTTTACTGGGAATGTCTGAAATAATTAATAAATTCTGGTTTTAATAACCTGAAAAGTAGACACCTTTACAATTACAATTTTCTAACCTGATTGCAAATCTCTCCCCTTTATTACCTTTACAATTAACAGTTTTCAGAAAAACTTTGTTTCAAAGTTGTCTAACAAGTTGCAATGTAAACATGAATCATGTAACAAGTAATCATGGATGAAAATGTGTGTAAAAACTTAAGACATTGATAGTGACAATTTCTTGTCTATTTACCAGAATGTGTTGAAAAAAAATTACTTTTGGATAAAATCAACATGTTAGCCAAATAATGCAGCTGTTTTGGGTGGGGGGTTTGAAGGAGGTAAACTCCATGGAAGGAGGTAAACCCTAATGGAAGGAGGTAAACCCCATGGAAGGAGGTAAACTTCATGGTAGGAGGTAAACCCTAATGGAATGAGGTAAACCCTATGGAAGGAGGTAAACCCTATGGAAGGAGGTAAACCCTATGGAAGGAGGTAAACCCTAATGGAAGGAGGTAAACCCTATGGAAGGAGGTAAACCCTAATGGAAGGAGGTAAACCCTATGGAAGGAGGTAAACCCTATGGAAGGAGGTAAACCCTAATGGAAGGAGGAAAACCCTATGGAAGGAGGTAAACCCTATGGAAGGAGGTAAACCCTATGGAAGGAGGTAAACCCTATGGAAGGAGGTAAACCCTAAGGGAAGGAGGAAAACCTAATGGAAGGAGGAAA